GATGCAACAAAAATCAAATTTAATGATGGTTATAAATTAATACAAGGTTTGACTAAGAATTTATTTTATCTTGTTTGTTTAGCACAAATAATCTCATATATTGTTTATCGTATCTTTTTTTTTTTAGAAGCTGTACGAAGTAAATTTCGATTATCAGATGATATTTTTAAAATTGAATGGTATAATTTACATGAAACATTTTTAAACAAACGTCGGGATATTAAAAAGGGTTTAAGAAAACAGGAAACTACAGTTCAAACAAATCCATCAGCACAAATCTAAAACTTTATATATTTTTTTTACGAGAACATGTATATATCAACATGACTGATACGGTCTCAACTAATTTATTTTTTGCATTTTTGCTTTTCTTATATGATTAACATGATAAAACCTTTTTTTTCTTCTCTTATTTCTCCATTTTCTTGCTTATTATACGCTTCGAGCATGTAAAAAAAATATAAAAATTAGTGAATAATAAACTCGATTCAGCACGATATCAAAGTGCTCAAATTCAACAATAAGGCAAAAAAACAAAAAAAAAGGATGAAGTTGGGAGTTGATCCACTGTCTTTGGTTTCTCAAGGCACTAATATAGCAGTAATTTCCTGTCGGGATCCCGATATTTTTCGTGGGATCTCGCGAGATCCCGCCAGATCCCGGCGGGAAATTGCCGGGATGAAAGACATGGGCTAAATAGTTCAATAAATGCCAGATTGACACCCTTTTATACCGAGAGGTAACAAAAAACCAAAACGTTGAAAATTGTTTTGAATTCTCGTTTTTTTTTTATTGAGCTAAGAAGAAATGGTGAGATAGAGAATGATAAAAAATCTTCTCGTTCATGTTGAACTTGTTATTTGAATCGTTGTCAAATAAATTGAAAAGAATCTGTTGATATGTATTGTTATATAGTGATTAGTTATTGTCTAAAACGAAGAAGAAAAACGTTAACGTATTAATAAATGATACTCATTTATAAAAAAAAAAACTATGATAATATATTCGATCTATTTATTCCGAAATAAAAATATTTAAATCAATAAAAAAATTCTCTTTTACCAAATTGAAAGCTCTATAGAAATAATATAAATAAAACAAAATTTTTGTTATTAATTCTTGACGTTATCGACAATAATAAACAACTAGAGAAATGTTGACAAATATTTTCATCGATTTATCTGAAAATGTTTAATCCGTTATTGATTAAATAATATTTACCTATTCAAGATTAATTCATATGAATTTTTCAATAAAATTTCTTGTTTTTTTATATTGCTGGTCTGTCAATGAAGGATGACGAAAAACTAGTTATTAAATATAGATATGAGGATTTTTCTCTTATCTTCTATTATTCGTCTAGAGAGGTAACGATTAGCTATCAGTCAATATCTAAATATATAGGAAGAAAAAGGCATTTATCATAAACTGAAAGGTAAATTGTTTTTCTGGATGAGAAATTCTATGAAATAGTTCTCATACTGACGAAACTCTCTTACTTTTCGAAAAAAAAAAACATTCATATAAAGGAAATGTGAGAGTTTTTTTTATCGAAATATTTCTTTAAATTAACTCAATGAAATTTAATCAATTGATTATTTAAATATAAGAAAAACGTTCTCGTTAAACAATATAATCAACAAAGTTAGGATAAATCTTTTTTATAAATCAATTTCATAGATTAACATTTATTCATAATGATTCTATTTATTTTTGTTTTTATAATAAATTCGAATGGTAAAGATTGCCTCCGTTCATTTAAAATGTTTTCTTAATCCGTTAAATAAAATAAAGTGAGATGATTAGTTTTTTATTCGAATAATAACCAATGTTTATTTCCTAATATTAAATATCTAAAATCATTATTGAAAGTTGCACGAAAATCATTGGGAGAAAAGAATTTGTTTCGAACAAGACGAAAAGACCTATTTAGAATATTTATTTCTAATTATTGATCGATCTAATGTAATCATTGTTGAATATCGATTGTCAGAAATATTCAAATTCTAATAATGAAAAAAAAAAAACTATTTAATCATATTTTATTTATATATAATTTATCATTTTAATTCATTTTATAAATCTGTTTAAAATTTTTAGGCAAAATTTTTTAGAACGATGAACTCCTTATGAATCTGATACGATTAATGTTAGACGGCAATCTTATTTCAGATATATATGCTTTTAAACAAAAATCTTCATTAAATAACGTTGATCATTTCTTCAGAGTATCATATCGAACACTTGTTTTAAGATTTTTTTTTTTGTTATATCCATCAAAGTCTAGATGAGATTTCAAATTTTAATAGAGAGATTTGACATAAGAAGAACACATAGAAATAGAAGCGATAAATGGTTCTTATTCAATGAATAGATGATGAATATGAAAAGCATCGTTTAAAGATTTGACCATGTTTATTCCATTGTTGAACTAACTCGATCAACATAGGGTATCTCTAGTTGATTATAACACTAGAATTAAACTGATAAACGTGTGATTAAATATAATAACTATTTCTAGGATTTGTTGAAATAGGATTTAATAACTTTATCATTAAAATGATAATTTTCATCCGATTTTACAATTTTCTATCAGCTTTCGTTCTTCTCTCGTTTTAATTCAAGATCCGAGAACATTTTTCGCTTGAACCTTCTCCTTCGAAACCTAAGACATGTGATGATATTTATTCACAAAAAGAAAGATCAAGTCAAAATAAATGTGGAAACTTCCGATTTAAATCCGAGAGTTATGTGTACTTCAAAAAGTCAATGAGACAGATTAGTCATCTTAGAATGTGTGGACATAAAAATTATCCGGGTAAACCTTGCCTATAAACACTTGACTTCTATTGGCTACTGCTCAACCAATAGGATTTGGAGATGAATACAGAGAAGATTTCAACTTTTCGCCTTGAATTACCCTCAGAAAGTCGTTTTTCCTATAACTTGATTTCTATTGGTTACTGTTCAACCAAGGGGATTTCGAGGCAAATGGAGCAAAGATTCGAGTTCTCCGTCCCAGAAAATCTTCAAGTTTCACCGCTGTGATCGTAAGATAGAGCTCTAATTGTGGATCAATTCGAGCGTGGACGAGAACAGAACCGATTTCCGTTTGTTTATCTTTGTAATAGGTGAGCTAGCCTCCTTGTTTCTTAATGTTTTATATACTATATTGTAGCTCGTGAAATTCTCTCTAGAATGGTATATAATAGTTGGGCTTTTATTTGACTATAATAGGAAAAGCTTTTTTACGAAAGCGGGGATAGGTCGATTTTCACATAAGAAGTCATAGAGTGGATTGAAAGTTTTTCTATAGAATGTTTGCTCATATATTTGAGTTGCTTTTAAAAAAAAATTCAAACGACTTGAGAACTATCAATTAGAAGCAGAATTTCGTGCTCTTTCGGAATATAGTCTATTTATCAAAGATATATTCGACGATTTAATAGATTGATAAGAAGATTACTTAATAAGTAAACAAATAATTAATAAAGTTCGACTTACAAAATGAAAAAAATCAATAGAAAATATGTTGAAAAGATCTAATCAGTTCTGATCAACAAATATATATCTAAGCATTATCATTATCGATGGTAAATAGAATTTTTGCTTAGTCACTATATTTACCGTTATGTCACTTTCAATATTCTTCTAATTGTTATATTCTATTGAATATCTTCTATATATAGTTGTCTTTTCAAAATCGAATTTAAATTGAATATTAAGTGAGCTAATTAATAAAAACAAATCTTCAACAAAGTGATAATTTAAGTTGACATTAAATAAATATTTTAACTCTAACTTAATTTAGTTTTTTTTTTTTTATTAGAAAATAAATTATTTTATTTACTAAACACTTTGAAATACGAATTCTTTTTTTTTTTTCATAAAAAATCAGTTTTTTTATCCGATTATAAATAATATCTATTCAAACGAGAAAATGCTCTAAGACAATTATCATTTAGCAAAAA